CCTAGAGGGAACCAAGCAAGTGTGCTTGCAGCAGGTACCCAATGAGTGTTTTGAAAAGGCTCTGAAAAGGCCGCTCTTCTTGATTTCGCTGTGACTGTGCTGCGCCTACTGCGCAGGCCTGGCGTTTTTTATAGACACCTTCAGCTTATCTTATTCACTCATGAAACAGTGTGAAGTCACGGTTTTTTAGGTGCATGATTATGTACGCACGCGTGAGTGCGTTTACCTATGTTTTCGGTATAGCTGCCATTTGGCTATAGCAATACTTTCTCGCATTGCCCTAGGTGCAATAAACAAGCTTTCCGAGAATGTGATCTTACATTTAAAGTACAGTGTATCACGAGAAAAAATTTCAATACCATTAAAAAAGAAACTCCAGCGCTGTTCCGCTGTCTGGGACGCAATAACTCGCTTATTGTTGCCATTAAGATGCGTTACTTTATAGAAGTTGCGAAGGAAAAGCTTTGCTGACTACAAACAATAATACTATTAATACGCGCGTGTTTCATTTTTCATCAACAGACATTTCTTTTCATGCCTTTTTTTTTACTTTTTTACTGTTATGCGTCGTGCGCTTACAACTTGGTTGAAGTGTCTTGGTGTGGGCTCCGGATCATTTTCACCTGTTCAAAGGCCGCCGTGGCAAAGCAACTTGATGAAAAAAATTTGCTGATAAGAACTTGCAGAAACAAACACCTAAAAACATCGCGTAGGAAATGAAGAGCTTTAGTATAAACTGTAGGCCAAACCTATTTATTTATTTATTTATTTATTTATTTATTTATTTATTTATTTATTATTATTTATTTTGGGTTGAGACACATGCATCAAATACTTTTCAATCCGTGGCCATACATTTTAACGGCAATATCTATTTGTGGAAGAGGGAGCTGTTGAAGACGGAACAGTACAAGCCAACTCAATAAAGAACAACCTATTGGAGTGACGAAGCCGACCCAAGAAGATAGTTCGTATGCGGAAAATATTAAACTTCATCTGAAATCATTCTCTAATAACTTCTCCCAAGAATCTAAAATATACCATAAGCTGACGTCTGTCTGTCTGTCTGTCTGTCTGTCTGTCTGTCTGTCTGTCTGTCTGTCTGTCTGTCTGTCCGTCCGTCCGTCCGTCCGTCCGTCCGTCCGTCCGTCCGTCCGTCCGTCCGTCTGTCTGTCTGTCTGTCTGTCTGTCTGTCTGTCTGTCTGTCTGTCTGTGTCATATGGTAAAGAGTAACAATAAGATTAGAGTTCAAGAATAACCGAATTACAAGAAAACTCCAGCTGTAACCGAATAGTGTGCTGCCGAGAAGCGAACGCGAGATCGTTTCGTAAGCTCCTCGTTTGCGAGTGTCGGATCGTTACCTTCAATGCATGCTGATGCAGCACGTTTACGTAAAATCTTACGTAAGTTCTCCTTCAGATGGGAGGGCAGGCTTAACGCACACTCAGGTCAGCCGTGTGTCAAATGCGCACTCGTTAGAAAATTCGAACACGGTGACAGAACAGTGTGAACTCACGGGCACTGGTGTAGCCAGAGGTTCGCACGCCGAGCCCGTGCCCTCCCCCCCCCCCCCCCCTCCTTCCCGGCCGAGAAAGATTTCTGCCTACACCTCTTGCTCCCGGGACAGCGCAACTAGCGGGACACGCACAACACGTGCAAGTTTGGAGATGCAGGCAATGTTGAGATCGGGACGTACCTTTTGTCTTGTTTGTGCTCGAAGCATAGGCTAAAGACAATGCCCCAGTATTTTTCCTACAGCCCTGGAAAAAGAAAATCATTTGACTTTTTTTTTAGAGTTCTGGCTTGCCACGTATATCACTCTCTTTCGTCGACACTCTTTGGTGGCCATTATATATACTCTCTTTTGAGAGTTGTGTGACCGAAAAGGGAGATAACGTGCCTCTCTAGAATGTGTAATATACGTGGTACGTCAGGGCTGCGCGAAAGGAGTCACACATACTCTTTTTTTAGTACATTTGTGCTATAGAAACTCGTATACCTGAGCGCGACGAGAGGTCTATACGAGTGGACGCAATCACAGATACACGTATTGTCGGCATTCGTGGAGATGGGACAACGACCGGTGAACCCGGTTTCCCGCGTATTTTGGTAAAGAGTTATATATCAATTTTTAGTGAACACCATGGGTTAGCCAGGTGCATCGCCTGACTTCCTACTCCAGGTGCCGGCTGTTGACCATGCCATATACAACGATCGCATACGTACATCCTTCGATCATACATCACGCGCACGATCACCCACACACATAGCAAAATGATCGTTCATAAAATTTTCGAAAAATACCTAGTCTTCTAAGATTCCAACTGTGTTTTTACATTGTGCATGGCGCAGGTATCATATATTTTGTCTAGATATTCAGCGATTAAATGCTCGCTCTTGAAAGTGAAAAGCAATAAAACGAGAGGTTTGGTTATTCATATTGGTTAGCTTGGTTCACTGTTCGGTTATACGCTTCTCTAGGCGTACAACTCGTTCTTTCGTTTCCTCGGCTGAGTGTCTCCTCTTCGCTTTGTTCCCATGACAAAGCCTAGCTGTTTTCAGTCTCTCCGACTCACTTTCCATATCTGCCGATGAATGCCACTGACCCGCCTCTTCTACGACGCAACGCCGGCTCCTCCTCTGTTGTAGCAACGCGGTTTCACCGGTTCCTCCTCTGATGTCATGCCAGATGGCGCGGCGAGCATCGGTGGCTGTTGCTAGGCAACGGCTCAGCACGCGATGCAGCCACCGGCCACAGCGAAACGGTGAAATTACGACCAATGTAGCTCTCGCTACAAAATAGTAGTAATGCGCGCGTCTCTTTGCTGGCCGACGCTCGATATGACCATGGTCTGAAAATATTCTTAAAATGATTTGTTGTTTAAGGTGTTCAAAAAAGCGTGAATAAGTATGTCTATTCGGTTACAAAGCAGTCACGAGCACACAGTTTGTGTCCTATCGTTTCCTCAATGTTGCACGAGTCACATCTGGAGGTGCCTAGCATTCCTACGCGAAATAAATGTGTTTTTGTTGAAAGCCACTGCTTTTCTCGGGTGGAACAGAAAATTGTTCTAGAAGCGCTTTGACCAAGGCAACTTGGTGCGACGTCCTGCAAAACTCACCAGCATGAAAGACGAAGACGAATAAACAAAGACGTCCCCCTTAACTTAGCAAGCGGCACAGAAAAGCTACGTCTCGATTGGAGAGATGCGACTGTGCTTCCTTCCTATCCTTCAGAGCGCTCTTCACCTTATTGGAACGTATATGAAATTATCAAAGTGCGAACAACGTGCAATAGTATCGGATGCTTGCAACATCAATTTTCATTTGCATACTTCTTCAACAAAGACGGCCTTCGAACTAAAAACTGTCTGGTGCATATACTTTCACCGATGTCGCCGCTTCTTTCCTTGCGGCGCTTTCGTGATATATATATATATATATATATATATATATATATATATATATATATATATATATATATATATATATATATATATATATATATATATATATATATATATATATATATATATATATATATATATATATATATATATATATACACACACGATAAAGGCGCTCCAACCTTATTTTAAAACTGCAAGCGTGCGCACAGCAACCGCTTTAGTTTTCGGAGCCTTGAAAACTAAGCTGGCTGGGGAAAATTAAGGTTTTCTCGGTTTGCTGTTTCGTGGATACATGTGTACTCTGTACTCGGAAATCTCGTGTCTTCGGGTGATTGAGATCGTCTTATTAAAGTTTGTGTCTTTATTAGTTTTATAGCGCCGAAGATAGCTCCAGCGTCTTGTAAAGGCCCGCATACCTTTATTTTGATGTTATATATATATAATTTTCTACAAAGGCGATATCAGTGAATTTTATCGCTGCCTTATAAAGCAAAGTAAATGTCGAATTTTTTCAACGTCCACATACGTTCAAATAAGGTGAAGAGCGTTCTGAAGGAAGGAAGCACAGTCAAATCTCTCCCATCGAAACCCAGCTTTTTTGCGCCGCTTGCCAAGTTAAAGGGGACGTCTTTGTTTCTACGTCTTCGTCTTTCGTGCTGGTGAATTTTGCAGGACACGGTGAAAATGCTGCTTATCCCCCTCACAAAAGTAGAACTTCCTGTAAGTCTTATGCACTGCAATAGCAACAAGTGTGCTGCCAGAACGAAAGATTAAGCCTAACCTTTGCGTGTTGCAAAAAGGTCAGGCTTGGCTTTTCATATTTGCAGTTGTGCTTGTCGAATGGATATATATGGGGAACGGTGTCTAGTGCGAAACCGCGACTGATTATATACTGCTTGAATACCTTCGCATGCACTGTCCGCCCACTCTGGCTTGAATTCTGTTACGCCGTATGAAAATCGAACCCGTGAGCCCATCATACTCGACGCTCGGACGCCACATTTACTACCACTGGCGCTTTTTTGTGGATGCAACGCACGCAGTTCTAAAACTCGCTGTACAGTGACTATGCTCTGTCTCAATGTATTCACTATATGGCATCGTCAATGAGAAGGTTATGTACGAGAGGGCATGATCAAGGAGAAGACTATGCCATGTATTCATATGCTAGCTTAGCTTTGAATGCCTGTATCTGTTGTATACTCTGAGAAGGAAGGAAAATGGAAGGAAAAGAACGGCAGGTAGGTTAACCAGCCTATAGGCAGCCGGTTTGCTACCCTGTGCATCGGGGGGGGGGGGGGGAGATGAAAGATAGAGAGCAGAGAGGGACATAGCTTACGAATGTACGCACGTATATTAGCACGCGTTACGCTCATTACCTCGTGACAAAACAAGTAGTGTCCTTGTAAGTGATGATTCGACGATAAGACTTTCCTTTCGTATAGTTGTAAGTGGCAGCCCTCGTTCTAGTTCACTGTTGATTCTTCCTAGCCTCCGTCCTGTTTGGATTTTCTTTTCGTGTGATGTTGTCGCGAAGAGGAGTCGGCTACTCAGCCGTGCCTAACCCCGTTGCAACGTTGTTGCGTGCAGGTACCACGACGAGGAGCATGCAAACTTGCTGAACACCATGTGGTTGACGGCAATCACGTTTCTCTCCGTGGGCTACGGAGACATCGTGCCCAACACGTACTGTGGCAGGGGCATCGCGGTCACCACGGGACTCATGGTGTGTACATCCACTGCACGGTTCTACCTTTGTTTCGTTTTCTGTTGGTGCCCTAACTAATGGTGGTGTCAGGCAGCATGCATCGGCTATTGATGACGGTTTTTTTTTTAGTTATATGTATATAAGGATAGGTTGGTGTCAATGCGTGGCGTCGACTACTCCTCTTCTCTTGCACAAAAGCCGACATCGCATATTTGGTAGCAGACACAAGGCTATACATATGTACATAGCACAACGCTTACACAATGAGTCCACGTTCTTCAATACTAAGTGTGCACACCACACAGAAATGTGTCCACACTGCATAGAAAAGTGTCCACACCACACAGAGTTTGTAAAAACAGAAGCATTTGTTGGCTTATATGTCATTTGTTATCATGCTATATGTCACTTGATCTTTATGTTCTTGCTGTTCCGGTGACGAAATTCGCTGAGACTCTGTATTTTATGTGCCCGGCCCACTCAGAGAACAATAAACTTCATTTTTTGCCGATTAGAAATTACGTACGCCCTAGTAGATACCGTCAAATTTTATGGCGTCACTGTGATTTGTGTGAGAAATTCAAGGTGGTGTCACCATCCGCATTTTCTTTTTGCTTTGTTTATCGCTTGTCATGCGAATGCTGGTGATTTTGATATCATGTAAGCTTAGTTGAATAATACAAGAAAAATTGTTTTCCCCTTCAATGTCCCTTTAGGGAGACGTTACAAGCTACTTGATACGCGAAAGTGTTGGTATTATCTCAAGTCACCATCATATGCACGCAAAAAAAAACCAAAAATAAACACGTCATAAATTGGCATGAAAAGAAAATTCACTCGAAATTTATGAGAAATAAACATGTCGTAAGACGTCACAAAGAATGCAAATGCAAGACGTCACAAAAAATACTAGATAGACGGAGTTGCAATGCTTGATATACTTTATGGATGGAGTGTAGCTGAAAATAATGGGGTACATTACTGCTTTCATAGCGTAACATATAATGCAACCTGTAGTCTCATAAACGGATATATGTTTTTATTCCAACTTTGATTAACAATAATAAAGTTGCTTCCAGAGATGACTTTACGGCGAGAGCACTCTTTCTTTAGTGACTACTGCTATCCACGGGCTCAATAACTCCGTTTTGTTAATTGGTCTTCAATCAAACATGGTTCACTATAAATTACCTCATTGCAAGCCAAAGAGCCGATATGGCTGTTGAGGCCTGAAGGGCATAATAAAGCATAGCATCCTGGATAAACAGACTCGTCTCACTACTTTTATCGTCTTTTTGTATCGCACCGTCGTTTGTGCCGGGAATTTTCGTGTTTATCCACCCAGAGAAATTATAAAGAGTCGGCTTTTTCCGCGTTCCTCGTTTTCTGCATTGTGCGACCCCCTCTCCTTCCCTTCTCCACTCCCAAGTGGGCTCTGCGTTTCACCAATTAGGTGCCACGTGTCGCACCAATAGGACTTGTTGGCGTTCGTTAAACATCCCTGGCGGTTCTGCGAAAAAAAAGAAATGTTGGTAGCTGCCATAATATCAAGGCGCTGTGGACAAGCAAGTGCGCTCCCCAACCTAATCTAACCTGACCTGACCGAAATGAGGATCTGTCAACACTGCGTTTTCTTCCTTTGCTCATTAAAACACCGTCGTTAATCAAGAGCCTAAATACAGGAACAATACGCAACTATTTATCTTATTTCGGCATGCCGGGTCGATATACAGTCACCACATTCTTCCATTATGGTTAGTTGCCTATTCTTACAGAGAATTCTCTTATTCTTTATTTCTTTTCTCCTTCTTCCTCTCTCTCTTTCTTCCCTTTCGTTCGTTAGTTTTTGTTTGTTTGTTTGTTTGTTTGTTTGTTTGTTTGTTTGTTTGTTTGTTTGTTTGTTTGTTTGTTTGTTTGTTTGTTTGGACGATTGAGGCCACGCTTTTTTCTTTCCTGCTGTTCCGAAATGAGTATAAGCTTACGAGGCTAGTGATTAAAAAAACAATGCCAAATACATTCAAGTGGGTCAACGGCCAGCCTTGATCGATATAGGCTGAACACAACTCTTGTCATGACGAACATCTCTTCGACGGAGCAGATCGTTATCGTCATCACATTTTCTGGCTCTCGGACTCGCGCTTAAGCGTGAAAGGAGCATTCATGTATAAGCATTGAGAAGCCTTGCTGCGTAGTCATGTAGTACCTCTGACTGTTTCAGCAGTTCTGTTTCAGCTGGGCTCTTGATCGCTTGTCGACAAATGAGATCGCGGTGAAGTCACCGTCTTCGATAAAACATTCTTCTATAGGATTGGCTTGCAGGAAATTATACAGTGCCCCGTTCCCCTTTTCTTTTCTTTTTTTACAGATACTGCAGGGTCTCCTCGGGCCCGTGCAGGAGTGAAACACAAAAATACAATCAAATTATGCATAGTTATACACTGAACAGTTTGGCATAATTAAAATAGTGTACAAATAATATGTACACAACTTGAAAGTAACATTAATGTTTAGTACATATCAATCCTTGACAGACAACAGTATTTCACAAAATGTTTTTTAATATACACAAGTCACTTGATTCATACACAAATGAAGGTATATTCAATGTACATCACTTTTATAAAAAGTAAATATTCGACATGTTTTATATGTTTTAATATGATTTAATATACAAGCTCCCATCTTCCTTTCTTGCATATATACAAAGTACATATGTGGCGTTTTTTTTATTTATTTTTCTAGAAGAGCCAAGTTCGCTTTAACGAAAACAGGCAGATACAGTTTCTTGCTACTGAAAGTATGGTCAGTCCTTCTCCAGCACGCTTGCCAGTGTGCTCGCATCGCTGAATTGTGTCAACTATATTCCAGCTTAAAAATGTATGGCCTCCTATCGTGGGTATTCAGAAAAAAACTTGAATTTCGCTCTTATCGATTGCAATGTTTTATTTGGTCTTAACTTAGATAATAAAAGAAGCTTAAATTGCTGCAAATGAATGTTATAGCAAGAGTTTGCGACAAAATTATCACCGTCTCTGGGCATCCGTAAATGCCTTCGTCTCATTGATTTGTGGGGTTTAACGTCCCAAAACCACCGCATGATTATGAGAGACACCGTAGTAGAGGGCTCCAAAAATTTTGACCACCTGGGGTTATTTAACGTGCCCCCAAATCTGAGCACACGGGCCTACAACACTTCCGCCTCCATCGGAAATGCAGCCGCCGCAGCTGGGATTCGATCCCGTGACCTGCGGGTCAGCAGCCGTGTACCTTAGCCACTAGACCACCGCTTCGGGGTGTCTGTTGCAGGGTCGTAGTGGCAGTGAGTATACTTGTAGAACGAGTGCTATATCCACGCAAAAAAAAACGCACTATTTTGGACATTCGGCAGTGTTTTTCGTTCTTGGCACGTATTGAAGTATTTAGGGAATTCTTCACCTCCTTTTCTGCTTCTTCACTTGTTTTGTGCCATACCATTTAAACCACTTCTTCAAAAAATATATAGGCGCCTAACATATACATTTCAATTGTCTTCTGTTTCAATCATACCATCCTTCAGTGAAAGAAAAACGTGACAGTGTCGGGAAAACCTCTAAAAGTAACACTGACAGGCAGAAGCTGGAAGCTGGTGTCTTACGCTTTCCATTCCAGTTTTCCTCTACACTATCATGTCCTTGAGCAAGAACCAATTCTTCCAAGAAAAAAAAATGGCAGATCCCTTGTGAATTGATGTTATGTGAAGCATACGGAGGGAAGGTCACTGTGTTGTAATTTTTTACTCAGTGAAACGTGGCGAAACGGCGCTAAAGATATGTACAAATCCTGTACGCATATACATACGTTAAGCAGTCTCATGTTTACTGTTGTATAACAATGCCAACAGCAGCAGGGGTATTAGCAATCCCAGAAGCCGTAAGCTGATATGTAGCACTTGTACCAGCGAGGATGGCAGCTCTGGACACTGCTAGATAAATGAGCTTCAGTGCATGACGCTTCACTACAGTTGTCTTTAATCCAACGTGATGGCTGTATGATAGGAGTACGTATGTACTGTTTAAAAGATTGGATATCCAGCACTGCAACCACAATTCACGTTTTACGAACATTACGGTCTACTTCAAAAGCAGTTCTGATTCCGAGACTGTCCGTTCGTCTAGACATCCGTCCGTCCATCCGTCCGTCCGTCCGTCTGTCCGTCCATCCGTCCATCCGAGTATCCGTCCATGCGTCCATCTGTCCATCCGTGCATCCGTACATACGTCCACCTCATGTGCACCGTCTCTCCGTGCGTCCATTCATTATACTAGTAGGCGACTTCAATGTAGACATTATGAACCATAGGACCTATAGCTCCGCCCACTTCTCGTCCTTCACTTAGTGAAGATGCATCGATTTTTCTTAATGCTCTCGAACTAAAATTACCAATGTCTGTTCGCGCCATTTCTTGGTTGATATGAAATGTCAATCGCATTCAGTTCATTGCTCCTAATTACAATTGATCTTAACCGGACGTGACGGCTTTATCGTAGAGTTACATATGTAATATTTATAAAATGGGACAGTCATCACTTCATCCGCAATAGATGCTTCACGAAAATTACGGTATGTGTGAAAAGGTGTTTCAAGACCTAGCGTGGTTCTGTGGTAGAATGCTTGGTTGTCACGCAGACTGCTGTGGTTCCATTCCTGCTAGGACCCTTACATTTTTTTCTTTACATTAGTTGGGTCAACGCTGCCAATGCCAATTCCACACGTTAAAATTACGCTTGTGTGTTCTCGCCGTTGCTGGTAGATATGAAATATCAATGGATGGATGGATGGATGGATGGATGGATGGATGGATGGATGGATGGATGATGGATGGATGGACGGACGGACGGGCGGGCGGGCGGACGGACGGATGGACGGACGGACGGATGGATGGATGGATGGATGGATGGAGGACGGACGGACGGACGGACGGACGGACGGACGGACGGATGAATTTGATTGATTGATGATTGATTGATTGATTGGTTGAT